GTTGTTTGGCGGGTCTGGGCTGGGGATTTGAACCCGCCACCCTAGGTGTACGTGGCTGGCACCTTAGCTGGTTGAGCTATAGGCGCCGAGCCTGTCATCTGTTTTTTATAGTTTTGAAATCTTATTTTTCTAGAGTATAGTAAGTCTTCACTTAATATCATCAACACCCTCTCAGAAACTACAGCTTTAAGTAAAACACAGTGTATACCAGATCCTTAAATAACATCCTTTCCTTTAGCACCATTTCATTATAATGTTGATAAGGCAAAAATACTGGTTTTCTTACACCATGTTTTGCCCTGTATAGTGCTCAATTTTGGCCCCAAATTTTTGAGGGAAAAATAAGACTGTGTATTATACATAGGTAGTAATTTCATATCTATGTAAATGTTTTTAATTCTTTTATTTATACTTACAGTTAAAAATATAACTCTAGAAAGCAGTAATAATAGCTGTATATAAAATAATACCCTAGAATATGGTAATCAGTTTTGTTGAATTTACAATGAACTTGGAATGAAAGCATTTTTGGCCAACTAAGAGCGATGTACTTGTCTTTGTACACTTTAGGCAGGAGCTAGCAGTCTAGTTGGTATTTTAAATTCCTTTATAATACAAAAACCAAGTATATAAATATGAACAAATAAAATTTTAAATTAAAATGAAATATCTTTTTCTTGGAAGTTTGGGACAAAAACATGGAGTGCATTATACACGGGAACACATTATACATGGCAAAATAAGTTATGTCATTTTGCTTTTAAAGTTTGGTGGTTGTGATGGTAGTAGTATTTTTCCTTTTTTATATCTTTCTGCATAGCTTGTTTCTTCCAGGTTTCTTCTTCTTCTTCTTTTTTTAGTATCTAGTTTGCTTTGATGTCTTTTACTTGTATCATGTCTTTTGATACATAGTTATATCTGGTCATATTTAAGAGATAAGAGTTAATTGAAAGTTCTGAGCGCATGGGCAAAACTGTGGACTATGAGATTTACTGTAGAGTGACCTGGTAGGTCCTTTTCTTTGATTGATGTTCTTATGTCATTGTCTTTAAGTCTTTCCTGTTAGACTGGTCTGATTTCCTAGATTCTTTAATTCTACTTCCTAGGAGGTATAATAGGGCTGGCTACCAATGTTCTGGGGGCCAAGTCAACAACATGGCCTAGGTGAGGGTGTGAGAATTTGGTGTGCATTTATATTCATTTCATTATTGTACTCCTACCTTAACTGTACCCATGTCTCCCAGACCAGACATCTGCTGATTTAGACTCTTTATAAGTTAAACCTCTAGTCTGCTGATGGGTTATTAAAGGGGTAATCACTTGCCTACTTCGAATATAGGTGAGAAAAATTTGGCATTGAAATTTTATTTTTTGGTGGAGGTATGCAGTCTTTATCAAGGGTTTTGATTATGTGTATAACTTGTCTTTTGGTGCTTAGATTAGGCTTTGACCCAAGGATTAAAGGTATGTTTATTAAGCTTTCCTTAGAATTTCTGAGATAATTTCCTAGTGACATAGAAAGTTAAAATAAGTATTATAATTTTTTTTTTCTTAAAACAGAGTTTCACTATGTCGCCCTTGGTAGAGTGCTGTGGCATCACAGCTCACAGCAACCTCAAACTCTTGGGTTTAAGTGACTCTTTGCCTCAGCCTCCCAAGTAGCTAGGACTACAGGCACCCGCCACAATGCCTGGCTATGTTTTGGTTGTAGTTGTCATTGTTGTTTAGCAGGTCCGGGCCAGGTTTGAACCTGCCAGCCCTGGTGTATGTGGCTGGTGCCCTAACCACAGAGCTATGGGCTCTGAGCCAATTTCTTAAAGCTTTTAATCAGTCACTTCTGGTAGCAGGTCTTGAACCTTTTGGGAATTTTGCAGTGTAAATCAGATTGGTTCTAGTTCAGTGTTATCTAATAGCTTTCTGTGGTAATAGAAATGTGATAGCAACTAGATATATGGGCTGTTGAATATTTATTTGAATGCAGCTGAGGTACTCAATTTTAGTTTAACTTATTTAAATTGAAATAGCCATAGAAATAGCCAAATAGGTATGGCTACCATATTGGATAATGCAGTTCTAGACTTTTCCCGCCATTGTTTTAAAATTTAGCATTCTCAGGTCAGTTTCCATTTATCCTCCTTTCTTTTATTTTTTTGTTGTTTTCTCTCCCATCTTTCCCATCTTTGGGGTTTATATCTTTAAAATATACATATATCTTTACTGTAATTTTGTGGGATTCTGGAAGGAAGCAAAAATAGATGCAGGTGTTTACTTTGTCATCTTTACCTAGTGTTGTTCTCCATGCAATTTGATCCAATTCCTATCTTCAGAATATTTTCCACTTAAATTATAATAACCACTTCCTTCATTCTAGAATTTCTGATTCTATTAATGCAACCTGTGATTTCTGATCTTTATTTTCTATGCCCATATCAACATTGCTAGACATGAATTTCACTTTCATACACAAGTGTCCAGGTTCTTTGATTATGTTTTAGTTGTATAGTTTTCATGTTTTATCTCTTTTATTTTAAAATTCATGGCATAGACTTTCATGCAGTAACTTCCATTGACATTTAAATACATAATACCTTATTAACTTATGTTATTGAGTTGAAACTATTTTCTTAAAATATATTTCCTGAATTTCTAATTGGGGGTGTGTGTATATATTTTTTAACCATTTTTTCTGATTATATTAATATGAAAAAATTGGTAACATTTTGAAAAAATATGTAAAAAACACTGAGAAAATCTCCCGTACTAACTTGTTGTAACAACTATTAACACTTTGGAATACATTCTCCCACCATTTGTGTAAGATGCGTATTTTTCTCTTCAGTACTCACAAATAATTAGTAAATGCTGTTTTATAATTTGCTTTTTTTACATGATATATTGTGAATTTTTACTAATAATGGTTTTTTGAATGTTAAAAGGAAAATACAGGGTGACTTTTTTTCCTTTGTATTTTTTGACTTTCAGTATTTATTCAACATCAACAAAATTTTGTTTAATTCTCTGTTACATGCTATGCCAAGCTTAAGATATAATTCTGCCTCTTGATTTTGGACTGGGGTTCATATTTTGACCATAATAAATTAAAAATAATGTCAGTTTCTTCAATAAATACATTCCTTTAGATAGAGTTTAAAATTAGCAATTTTTTACAGAATTTCACTCATAATTGCCAGCTGAAGAAAATGGTATTATAATATAGCATGATTTCAGCCTATGTTACAGTATGTTAAAGGTATAATACATCATTAATCTAGTTGATTTTTACTGTATTTGTCAAGTCAGTTGTTTAAATCTTCATAAAATATAAAACAAAAAATTCAAATATAAGGAAATATCTTTTAGTAGATAAAAAATATTTTGCTTTATTCTACAGGTTAAGAGCAGGATTATGTGATCGCTGTGCAGTAACTGAAGAACATATGCGGAAAAAACAGCAAGAGTTTGAAAACATTCGGCAGCAGAATCTTAAACTTATTACAGAGCTTAGTGAGTTTACTCTATTTATTACACATTTAAAGCATAATGTACTGTTATTAAAACCTATTAGTAAATTTGTTGTAATCAAATGGATTGTTTACATATACTTTTCCTTTTTTAAGTGAAAGTCGAAATGTCCCCTTTTCCCTTTTTGTAAATTGAATTTCATGTTTATTTTAGGAAGAAATGGGGTATAAAAAGGTGCAAATAACAACCCACATTGACCTTAAAATCTTAGCAGTTCTAATATAAGCACATTTCCTTTGGACACATCCATCTTTACTTCTTTGATTTTATCTTTATTTCATGTAATTTGACTTCTTAGTAAAATACAAAGCTGACAATTTAGTGTTCTACATTCTTGGTTTTTGTAACATAATATTATTGAGTATATTGTTTTCGGTTTATTCTCCTTACCTGTTCAGTGTAAGGTTTTCCTGCACTCTTAGCCGCCTTCTTTCATTCTTTTTTTCTTTTAATATTTCTCTGACCCCTTTTCTCTTTTAACTATTTATCTCTTTTGGTGTAAGCATTATGTGGATTTCCCATAAGCAACTCATAGTCAACATAACCTAAATTAATATCTTTTTTCCCAGACAAATTCTATCTTTTAACTTTATTTTTTTCTGTTAGTTATTGCTAGTCTCTGGTCACTCAAGCAAGAATATATGAATCTATGCTCACTATTTTAAGAAGAGATGAGGAAGGCCGGGTGTGGTGGCTCACGGATGTAAACCTAGCACGCTGGAGGCTAAGGCAGGTAGATTCCCTGAGCTCACAGGTTCAGCCAACCTGAGCCAGAGCAAGACCTTGTCTCTAAAAATAGCTGGACATTATGGTGGGTGCCTATAGTCCCAGCTACTTGGGAGGTTGAGGCAAGAGAATCACTTGAGCCCGAGTTTGAGGTTGCTGTGAGCTGTGATGCCACGGCAGTCTACCAAGGGTGACAAAGTGAGACTCTGTCTTAAAAAAAAAAAAAAAGATGAGAATATAGTTTTATTTTTCTCCCAAAGTTAGCTAATGTTAACAGTGTGATATGTGTCTTTTCAGGTCTGTCTGCCTATCTCTCTCCCCTCTTCACTCTTCTCTTTTGAATTTTAATGGGATCATACCATACTTTGTGTTCTAATATTTGTTATTTAACTATAAACTATTTCTTAAAAAGTCTTCACATGTCAATATATTTAGGTCTATAGAGTCTATGGTGTGAATGTGTGTGTGTGTTTATTTAGGAGTGTAGGAATATTGTCAATGTGTAGAAAACTATTACCTCTCAATAAATATATAATCATTCCTTAGCATCCATGGGATATTGGTTCCAAGACCTCCACACTTACCAAAATCCTTGGATGCTCAAGTCCCTTATATAAAATGGTATAATATTTGCATATAATCTACACAAATCCTGTTGTATGCTTTAAAAGTTTTGTTTTTGTTTTTGTTTTTTTTTTTGAGACAGAGCCTCAAGCTGTCCCCCTGAGTAGAGTGCTATGGCATCACAGCTCACAGCAACCTCCCAACTCCTGGGCTCAAGCGAGTCTCCTGCCTCAGCCTCCTAAGTAGCTGGGACCACAGGCGTCCACCACAACGCCTGGCTATTTTTTGGTTGCAGCCGTCATAGTTGTTTGGCAGGCCTGGGCTGGATTCGAACCTGCCACCTTAGGTGTATGTGGCTGGCGCCTTAGCCGCTTGAGCCACAGGCGCTGAGCCTGCTTTAAAAGTTTAAATCATCTCTAGATTACTTATAATACCTAATACAATGCCAACATGTCACTTCTTTTACATATAGATTCAGTGAAATAATAGTATTCAGTGCACAGCAAATCAAGTTTTGCTTTGGAGATTTTTTTTTTTTTTCTGAATCTTTTCCATCTATAGTTGGCTGAATCCGCAGATAAAGAACCTATGGATATGGAGGGCCAATTATAGTTGAGATCTACAATCACATATTATCATTAGTCCCCTAAAAATAATCTCCACTAATGCCTACATGCCTAATAATCAGGTTTCCAGCAACGTTTTTTAAACTTTTTTTTTGGTTTTTAACTGTCTGAAAAATAACCTAAAACTCCAAACAAACAAAAACGTTTGCCTAGGTATTAAGGTATAAGACTACCTTCTTTTTAATGATTGCATTGTATTCTATAGTGTGGATGTCTGTTATTTAACCATTCACAATAAATGGACTATTTGAATTTTTGAGGATTTTCGTTTCCTTACATTTTCTTCAGATTTGGGCAAAAATATATTACTAACACCTAATCTGGTGAGTGAAGAATAATAGTTTTTAAAGATTAGCTATTCTCAATTACTCTTCAGATCAAGTATCATTTTACATGATCTTATGTTTCCATTTGTTCTTGGTTGAGTGGCTTATGTATTCTTTGCCCAGTTTTAAGTTGTCCTATTTGCTGTTTGTATTTTTTAATTAAGAGCTCTTTGTAAGTTAGGAAAGGATCATTAAATCTTTGTTAGGTATACTGTGCATATATTTTCTGCTTCCCTGTTTATTGTCTGTTGACTTCATTTTATAACTTTTCCTGATGTGTACAAGCTTTATTACTTTGATTAGAAAGGATTTTTTTCACTACCCCCAAGAATATAAAAATATTCTCCAATTTTTTACTGTCTGTATATACATACTTTTAAATTTACATATTTAATCCATCTAGATTTTTTTTTTTGTTGTTGGGGATTCATTGAGGGTACATAGAACCAGGTTACATTGATTGTTTTTGTTAGATAAGGACTCTCTTATATTTGTGTCCCACCCCCAAAAGGTGTACTACATCCCTTAATCCCTCACCCCTTCCTCTTCCCTTTCTCAGCTCTTTCTATCCTCCACCTCCCACTGTGTACTAGGACCTTAATTGTCCTCATACCAGAATTGAGTACATAGGATTCTTTTTTGTTGTTGTTGTTATTGCAGTTTTTGGTTGGGGCTGAGTTTGAACCCACTACCTCCAGTATATGGGGCTGGTGCCCTATTCCTTGAGCCACAGGCACCACCCAGTACATAGGATTCTCATTTCTCCATTCTTGTGATGCTTTACTAAGAATAACGTGTGCCACATCCATCCAGGTTAACACAAAGGATGTAAAGTCTCCATCTTTTTGTGGCTGAATAGTATTCCATAGTATACATATACCACAGCTTGTTTTTTTGTTTTTTGTTTTTCCAGACAGAAGCTCATTATGTCGCCCTCAGTGGAGTGCTGGGACATCACAGCTCACAGCAACCTCAAACTCTTGGGCTTAAGCGATACTCTTACCTCAGCCTCCCAAGTGGGACTATAGGCGCCTTCCACAACACCTGGCTATTTTTTGGTTACAGGTGTTGTTGTTTATCTGGCCTGGGCTGGGTTCGAACACACCACCGTCAGTATATGTGGCTGGCGCTGTAACCACTGTGTTTCAGGTGCCGAGCCTATACCACAGCTTGTTAATCCATTCCTGAGTTGGTGGGCATTTAGGCTGTTTCCACATTTTGGCAGTTGTACATTGAGTTGCAATAAACATTCTAGTGCAAGTGTCCCTGTGGTAAAAGAATTTTTTTCTTCTGGGTAGATGCCCAGCAATGGGATTACAGGATCAAATGGGAGGTCTAGCTTGAGTTCTTTGAGGATTCTCCATATAACCTTCCAAAAAGGTTGTATTAGTTTACAGTCCCACCAGCAGTATAAAAATGTTCCCTTCTCTCCACATCCATGCCAGCATCTGCAGTTTTGAGACTTTGTGATGTGGGCCATTCTTATTGGGGTTAGATGATATCTCAGGGTAGTTTTGATTTGCATTTCTTTAATAATCAGGGACGATGAGCATTTTTTCATGTGTGTTAGTCGTGCTGTCTTCTTTAGAGAAGGTTCTACTCATCTCTCTTGCCCAGTGATCTAAGGGACTGTTGGCTCATTTTATGTTTATTAATTTGAGTTCTCTGTAGATCCTAGTTATCAAGATTTTGTCTGAATCAAAATATGCAAATATTCTTTCCCAATGTGTAGGTTGTCTGTTTGCTTTGGTTGTTGTCGTTTTAGCTGTACAGAAGCATTTCAGTTTCATTAAGTCTCATTTGTTATTTTTGTTGTTGCAATTGCCATGGACGTCTTACTCACGAAGTCCTTCCGCAGGCCAGTATCTTCCAGGATTTTTGTGAGTGGAGAAAGGTACGGGTCCAGTTTCAGTCTTTTACAAGTGGATATCCTGTTCTCCCAGCACCATTTGTTGAATAGGGATTCTTTCCCCTGGTATATGTTCTTGTTTGGTTTATCAAAGATTAGGTGACTGTAAG